ATGAACGGATCACGCGCGTAGCGGCTGCTCGTCTTGTATCATTTCCTTATACGTGCGCATTATATCACGTAAAGCGCTCAATTTGCTCGGTGCACTAACCGATCACGCACTTACATTGTGATATACGAAGAAATGATATTAGGGTGAAAGACCAAATTACTGTGATATATTCACGTTGTACTTGATTACGCGTAAATAACATTTTAAGGAATAAAAAGATAAAATTTATTTGAACTTTTCTACTTTATATCTAAAGTTTATGATAAAAGAAAAGATTTTAAGAAGTTTAAAGTATAGTATTTTAATCATTATACTGTGTATTCAGAAAACGCATGTAAGCATGAGCTTGCATGTTTATAATTTAAAATTTAAAACTTGATTTTAAATTTTAATTCTAAATATTTTAATTAACTTTCATTTTCCTTTGTGACGTATTATAATCAGAAAACATATATTCCGTAGGAATTGTCTGTCCAAATGTATTTAGAGGTGTGCGAATCAAGCATTTGTATGGTCGAATCGAATCGAATCTGAATCAAATTTTCCCGGATTAACATTACATGCTAATTTAAACATAATAAATATCAAAATTTATGATTTACACTATTTTATGCAATGATTTAAACAAACTGTCTTATGTCTCAAATCTTATGTAACATTTTGTACTAGAAAATATGTAATTAATAATGTGTATACAAATAGTTAGAATGCTTTCGAATATTTTATTAATCTATATGAATACATTACATATATCAAAAATACTTATTTATTAGATAAGAATAATTGGTCGCGCGGGACATGTAAATAAAGTAAATAAAATAGGCAATCAATTCGAAATCGAACCATTGTTGATTCGAAATTCTCGGACTATTCGATTTCGAATCTTACAGATTCGAAAACAACTCGAATTGAATCTATGATTCGATTCGATTCGATTCGAATTCGAACTATTCGCACACCTCTAGTACTTATATAAAGTACATACTATATGTATTACATTTAGATTGATTTTGCAGAATATAAATAAAATATGCTTAGATAAGACTGAAATTATTAAATGCATAATATACAACATATACATTTGTAAATAAAAAATAATATAAACTTGTAATTGGTTTGCACAAATTAATTACAATTTGCAAATAACGCATTGAAATAGTTGCTAATAAATTATTAATATTAATGCATAATATTTTTTTATTTTATAATTGCAGTGCGTAAATAGTTAAAAAACAAATATCATATACAAGAAGTAATAAAATTAGTTTTAGCTTCATGACTCAATATGATATTTATAAAATTTTTAATATTTTCAAAGAGACCGACTTTCTACAGATTTTCAATTTTAAAATCTGTATAAAATCATAAATTTAATTAATTGATTAAACAATTATCTTAAAATTCAATAAAAAATCAGTCAATATATATCTATCGTCGAGATGTTAATCTTCATTTGCACACGTTTCAACAAAGTTAAGAAAATAATCATTATGACGAACGATTAACGATTCTTTTGTGTGTGAATCTGAGCTCTTTGAGATTTTTCAAATGGTGTTATGCTACATCAAGTCACCTTAGTCACCCCGGAAACTTGAATGTACGCCGCGCTTTCGCCGAAGACATTACGAATTACATCGCTCGTTTAATGCATACTTTCGCGCAAAAATGTCCGAGCCGCTTGTTAGTGCACTCACGTAACTTGCAATTTTTTAAAGAAGATTTGAATGTTTGTCAACAAATAAACGTATAATTTATATTTGAATATTACGTACAGTTAAGTTTATGCTAACAAGTCAAAGCAATAGCCTCTTACATACCAATCAGCTTCACAAATTTAAAATACTATTTTTTTTAAAAGAAACATAAAATATTTAAAAACAAGGTAGTAATTTTTCTAATAAATCTGACAGTTTCCGAGATTTAATTGCTAGTCTATAATTTCCATAAATAATTCGTAACTGAAAATGCAAAGCATAAAAAAAATTTCGTTTACAAATTAGCTATTAAGCAAATTGAAGAAGAAAATGATACTAATGAGCAATCAAGCAATTTTAAATCACCGATATTCATTAGTTACTCCTATTACTACGATTTAGTTACTCTTAACTACAATTATCTTTTGCATAACTACCACTACTACTTATTTATCTTGTGTATCTGTGAAAAATAACAATAAAAAGAATAAAAATAAACAAAAAATTATTTGTGAAATAAAAGAAGAGGAAAATTACATAAGGCTAATGTTTTAAACAACATAAACGATAGAAAATACTGCATTCAAATTATTACAAAATTCTTATTTACTTGTCTTATGCGTCTATGAAAATTTGTATGTCATGCACAATAAAAAGAATAAGACTAGATACAAAAATTTTGTGTGAAATCAAGAAAATTAATTGAAGAAGGTGAATTATATAGAATTATATAAACTAATATTTTTTGATACCATAAATGATGAAAAATACGAAACTGTATACAAATTATTATAAAATTATTTTTCCGAATTATTATGTATTGAAGAATGCAGCCTGCACTCAATTTCATTTAGGGTACAGCGGAGTAATTTGAATAATGGGGTAATTTGGATAATAGTAAGTATTTGCAAGAATTTCAGAAAAATAAGAAACTTTAAGATAAATGGGGTAATTTGAATAATAGTAAGCATTTGCAAGAATTTCAGAAAAATAAGAGATTTTAAGATACATTTCATTATATCAGATTGATATAATGAAATGTATCTTAAAATCTCTTATTTTTCTATAATTCTTGCAAATGTTTACTATTATCCAAATTACCTCACTATTTAAATTACCCCGTTGTACCCTATGTATAGTAAATAATATTAATATAGGGTCGGCGGTACTAAACGGTAGTGTCCAACGATTATCCAGACAATTAGCTCCCCAACCCGATCATTCTCTATGGAGCGTGCATGCAACAGGAAACACTTATTTGCATCGAAGAGAACGTCGATGCGATCGGATTATTTCGCAAATATACGCCATTTTTCGCATCGCGAGGCATTTCGCAACAAAACTTTAGTTATTATCAAACGCATATAAAGATCGGACCACCTCGTAGCTAAGAAATTTGCAAAATAATTTATTTGTAAATAATTAAAAAATAAGTCATCAGTCATTTTGCAACAGAAGAGTGATAAAATAACGTTTTTAAATTAATATAACACTTATAATATTACATTTGTTATTTGATTAACATTGAAATAAAATTTATTAATTTAATAAAAATAAAATTTATTAAATACTATAGTTAAATACTTTCTTGACACGTTAACGGGATTCGTTCCATTTATGGCGTTCTGGATTCATAAGAAAATTACGAACTCGTCGCACGCGGCGCATCAACCGACAGTTCTAGGCGTCGGAAATAAGTACATATGATAACGGTGATTTTGGCGGGAAGTTTATGCCGGTTTCCCGAATACATATAACTGTCCAAGTTATTCATAAATATTTCTCTCCATTGTTTAATGTGTATAATAAAGAGCTACGCTTCGAATTTTTTGTCAATTTTTGTCGTACAATTAACGCGTTTTGCATGCCGCCGTTGATGGTTGCTTGGCTGGCAATGCCAAAATCACGGATATCTTAACGGTTAATGTGGCCGGTTATTGGGACCGTTGCAAAGAGAAATGTGTCTTAAGGCGATCGTAACATTGAGTATGTCGATTGCACAAAAAGTGACATTTTTGCCCATAATTGCACCTTGTTGTCAGTAGTGCAAAAACCACTGGCAAATAATTGCAAATATTGCAATTATCACTTAGGAAATCGATACTGAACGAGGAAGACGATTCGGAAACATGACGAAATATCTCGAGTCATCGGACAATATTCTCCGATAATAAAGCAGCAATTTTTTTTGCGTGAATCGTCGCTCCTCTCATTAGTCATGATTCTCTAGCTTCTCAAAATTTCACTTCTAATTAAACGAGAAATTGTAGATGTGTAGCTCTATTTAATCCAAAGATACATAAGCATATGGAATTATGCTAACGACGCGGAAGACATCCTACTCACTCTTTTTCTCTCTTTCTCTTCTAGAGAAATATATTTAACAACAAAGGAATTATTCAAGCACAATCGTGGCTGATAACGCGTGGGTAGGGAAAGAGCAACCTTTTTAAAAGCTATGAGATTCCCTTGTAAACGCGTCCCCTGGTTGTCGATGTATCTTTTGTCCCTGTATGCAATGCTATATTTGACTTCTTTTTTTCTATCCTGGAAATAATGAACGCGTGCTTGGGCGCGCGCGCGTATGTGTGTATGTGTATGTGTGTGTGTGTGTGTGTGTGTGTGTGTGAGAGCAAAAAATAAAATAAAATAATATGTATTCAAGAAATTCAAAATGATGGATTTTAGTGGAAAACTTGTAAATTAATATAATTAATAATTATACACATAATGATGAAAGCTTTCTCATAAAAAATATAATAGTTTTTAATAAATATTTTTTTCAGTTTTTTAGTTTTTACAAGACTGGTTGCGTTTTCAAAAGCGCGCTATCAGCACTATTGTGTTATTCTCTTTATCGTTAATTAGATGTAAAACAAGGACAAAGTAATTCAATAGTGCTGATAACGCGCTTTTCAAACACATTTTATGTACTTTTTAGTCATATTTATAATATATTATATTCGTGAATAAGTATTATATGGATCACATAAAAACACAAAATTTAAGCGATAAACGTATTTTTTATTTGTTGCGAAGATGTGCAGATACTGAACTGAAAGAGGAATTTATTCTAATTTCAATGAAAAGCATTAATTTTGTGATTATTGTTTAATGTTTCGATTGATTTAGAACAATAAAATTCTTCATTAAATTTTGATAATCAATATTGAGTCTGTGCTTTGGTAATTTGTCGCCAGAACAGTCGCGATTGCTGTCACGTTGGGAGATTGAAAACTCCTGGCAGCGATTGCTGCTAGGGTAGTTGGAGGGCTAGTCGCGGATAAAAAAATTATATCGACTTACCCCTTCGTAAGCTTTTGCAACTGGTTTCGTCCTGGAAGAGCGATGGCAAACGTATGGAAGGCGGACAAAAAGATACGGCTCTCTCTTTCTCAGTGATGAACTTCGTTGCTGCCTGGTTATACTATCGACAGGTGGACGACGACGTTGGCAAAAGAACTGAGAGACCGGCACCATGCCGCGTGAGTTAAATATTATTGACGATGCTTGAAGAGAGAAAGAGAAAGAGAGACTCCCAGGTCTTCCAGCAATGTTGGCGGCACCATCGCATGCTCGCACGGTAAATCAACAAGATCGACGAATGACACGTGATATTCTCATGCAGGTCCGAAGGTGCGCTATGCGTGAATCACAATTTATTATTTGTTATAAATGTTGATTGATTGCTGTTTATTAGTGAATTAAGCAGTATATTAAGACGAAAATAGGGATTACTCTTTGATTAAAATTCACAAAAGAGTTATAAATAATAGCCAATCGCGCCTAAACACGCTTATTGATGCACGGAATAATTTTGTGCTCTAGCATTTACTCGTGTAATATCGCGAAAAATAACATCGCAGCCAAAAATCCAAAAAGCTCTCTATTTTTCAAGCAAACACCTTGCTGATTTCGGTCATCGACTCTGATTGCAATATACTACTTATTGTATATTTTGACAAAGAATTTTATGCTCTTATTTCTTAAGATTAAAATTGATTTAAATTTGTTACGTGCTTAAAAAACGCCTCAGCGTTTTATTTTAAATATGACTTAGAACCAGCCGGTAAATTTACTAGGATTCAATTTGATTCTTAAAATTAATAAACAATACCATATTTAATACATATGATTGTATGCATAAATCTATTTTTAAAATTGTTATATTGTGAATACTTTTTTTACATAAATAATTATATGTATTAATAACTGGACTACTCTTGTTTTTCTTATATATTAATTATACTAATTTAATTAGTATTCAATTAAGTTGTCATTATTTATTAATTAACTTATTATTTATTCTAATTGGAAACGCCAATCAATTGAATAAAATTAATTAATTTATAGCTTTAATTTAGTTTTTTTAGCTTTTTTTATCTAAACTGTTTAAAAAATTCGCTCCAAGCAGAGAATGTTGTTTACGAATTTTTTATTTTAAGAGATTCATATTGCTTTTGTTAAAGTTTTTATTTTTTTCGATGTTAACTTTTAATTGTCTTTTAAATTAATAATTACATGTATTAATAACTAAATTACAGAAAAGATGAACATTATTAAAAGAGAAACAGCTGCAATGATTTTGTTTACAAAGCTTAAACAATTACATGTGTTTCTTAAGTATAATATATAAGTATAATACGTATTGTTATAATAACAATTTAAAGTAATGACTAACATTAAATGTATTATTATATTAACGAAGAAGATTTAATAATAGAAGAAAATACACACACACACACACACACACATGTATATATATATATATATATTTATTTATTTATAAAAACAAACTTCTTAGATAATTAAAGAATTTAGTTGTAAACAAATTTCTATTAAAATAATCTAATAATATGATTAATGGTGGCGTGATTTTCTCAGATAAGATTAAAGTACCGTTTCGCGGAAGTTTGCCTAATAAAAAAAATTTAAATAGGACTTCGCATCTTGACACTGGACTTTTTATCGCACACTCTCTCGCGTGATAATGATATTGTATAATTCTTATATTACCATTTATATCAGATCATTGCTTTTAAATAGAAAAATTAGAACTATCTTATCTACGTACATTCAAATACAATATTCAGTAACACGACACCCGATCATTCATTGACAACGACACACAATCTTTTTCTTTAACTTATTTCAATTACGAATGACGTTAAGGAGAAATAATTTAAGAAAAATTATGCAAACATGAAACAATAAAAATAGAACAAAGAAAGCTCTAATGTAATTAATAAGTTTTAGAAATTACAATGTCAGTTTATATTTAATCATTGTTTATATAAAAAATAGAATAAAATAAATATATATAAAATAGGATAAAATAAAAATAAAATGGATTGAAATATATATATATATATATATATATATATATATAAATATATAAACGTAATAAATGAAAGTTTTTATTTTATTTGAATTATCCACCTAGCTCTCGGAGTAAACGATTTCCTTTTTAAACTTTTTATATTTTTTTACTTATTACAGACGATCACATCCCATACAGTACACATTATCTGAGGGAAGTCCAGAGGATAAAGTGTGATATATGGGATATGGGATTTATACATTAACTTTTTGACTGGTTTTTATCACTACACATTCTTGTGAATTCCAATCTACTTTTACTGTCAGATTCAACTCTTTCTCGCCGAATGACAATTTTATGATGTATTTTATTTGATGACCAACTTTAATTTTATGTTACAGACTTCCAAAAGAATGTATTATACATGTATTATATATTGTCTAGTCTGATATGACCTATACATGTATTATATATGTGTCTAGTCTGATATGACCTCTTTGTTCTGGTATGATGTTTCGGTTTTTTCTTTTATTTTATTTATAACTTTGATTCAATTTCTTATTTTTATTTATTATTTTTTTATGTCACTATTAATTTCAATGTTTTAAATTATTTAATTTTATCAGCTGATAAATACTCAGACTATATATAATATATATAAATATATATAAAATAGTTCGTTTTTTTGTTATTTGACATATTAAAGGATAGTTAATTTTTGAACTTTTTATAATTTTTTTTCTCGTTTCTTGATCTTTAAATCTTTCCTTATTGTCTTACAATACACGAGCTTGATTTTTAATTAATATTATTTTTATTTATTTTAAAATCTTTTATATTTTAAAATGAGCAATGTCAAACACATAAGGAAACTACAAATTTTAAAAATAGTCATACATGCACACAATAGTTCTTTTTAGTTCTACAATATTTTTGCTGGTAAAAAGGTGTGCATACTGCAACTTTCATTTTACTGCATTCCCCGACGTTTTTTGTTTATTTTTTTTATCTTGCGTCATTTTCACGAAAGAATGAGTAGCATTTTTTATTGATATATACGTCATAACATTTGAGAATTTTTGCGACTTTTGATCTTGTCTCACGTGAGCGTAGACTGCAATCGCGCGACACGCGAAATTGATCGCGTGCTATTGGCTACAGTAATCAGACTACATAATAAATTATTCGGCTAAAGTTCAGACGTGTTCGAAGTCCGTATATGAGTGGCAAAGATCAGTCAGTTGTATCGTCACGTGAATAAGGCGATCGTATTATTGACACGTTTACACACATAAACATACGCAATTTTTTTCACGGTCTCTCATTGACTTCCACGTCAGATAATTTTCATTTACGCACATTTATCTACAACCAAGAATTATACATATCTCGCATTTGCACGTAAATGTCAAGTCATATTTCATACTTCTAACGCTTCTTGCACGCTATATTATACATTATAAGCTAACAATAAATAATAAGAAATATAATAGCAAAGAAAAATGTATCGTAAATATTTAGAAGTATTTTTGATGATTTAAAAACGATTTAAACTATTAAAACGTGTGTTTTGAACGATTTATAAAATTTTTCTTAGAAAATGTAGTAGTTTCTAAATGTTAATATTTTCAAATTTAATTTATTTCTATTTATGTTTAAATTTTGTTATTGGCTAGAAGATGGTTTTTGATCATGGAATTATTGAAAAATAAAAGATATAAATCATTAAGACTAAATGTCCGATAAGATTGTTTATGTTGCTTGATTGTCACTGATATTTTTGTTAGAATCATATTTTTGTTATATATGAGTAATGCTACGAATTTAAGTGCGTTTGGTATGCGATTTCTTTCGTTTTCAAAGTTTATTTGACATTATTGCAACATCATGATGACGATGTCAGATGCAGTTCCGGTAAAATGAGTCAGTGTCTGCTTATTAATATAAAACCGGATTGTATTCGATTCCCACGAATACCTACGTATTTTTTCCCGGTTGATCTTCGGCCTAAAATTTTAAGACCAATTGACTCATTCATTGTAAGTCAATTTACTGAGTCTAAGTTAAATAAGTGAAAGGGAAAGAAGAGAACTTTGTCTACAGTTTAATTAAACATTGAGTCAGTGATTGCAAATTTAAATTTATGTAAAAGATATCCGGTAATGATATCAAAACGCGTAAAAGTTTGAAAGATGTATAAATTTTATTTATTAAGTAAAAATTAACCAATTGAAAAATTAAAAAGATAGATATTAAAAATTATTTATTAGCATAGATAGATATTAAAAATTAGACGTTTTAATTATGTCAAACGTATAAATATTATGTTAACAAATAATATTTTAAACAAAAAGAATCTGAATAGATTTTTTACAACTTGATATTTCTGGCGAATTAATCGTTTTTTTCTGATTTTTAATTGGATAGAGAAATGTCGCCGGTACTGACGTAGATCTTTTAAAGAGACATTTATTTATTCTCGGAAACTAAACGTGGTATTTTAGTAACATTGATAAAAACACAATCCGTTTAGATAATTAAAACTTATATTTATATATTTGTGGCTTGTTCTATAATCTATATAAAATTAGTTAAAAAGAAATTCTACAAGTGAAAATGATACTTTTACAATTTTTACACAAATTGTGTAATTTAAATAATATTTGATATATTATTGTTAATATTAAATTGTTTTACATGTTTGTAGTTTCTTTAAAGTGTTTTGTTTATATTTTTCTTTTTCCTATATTTCTCTTTTTTTTATTTTGCTGATTTTAAGGCTTATTTTGGCAGACGCTTATTTTTTGCTTATCTTACGAAAGTGTTAAATATTGCAAAATTCCATAGTATTATACTTATTATAGTATTATAAAAAACTGTTATTTTATCTGATAGAAAATACTTTCTAGTTTACATTTATGTTTTCAAGGTTTTATTTTTAGCTTTCGTTTAAGACTGTGTTCGCGAAGCGTTTTATCAGCGCTATTGCATCATTTTGTTCTTGTTTTACGTTTAATTAACGATAATGATAATTTACATAATAGCGCTGACAGCGCGTTTGCCAAACGCAGCCTACGAAATAAAATTCAGAAGTAAAGTGATGTGACGGCGATTTTTTCCTATTTTTATGCTTTTACATGTAATTTTACTATTCATCAAGATGAAAGATATCTCGGAATCTTATGTCGCATGTAGCATTTAATAACTATAATATTTTTTAGTTATTTATGTGTAAAATATTTCTAGTTTTGAATGTCGGTCTATCAATTTAAAGTTTTGAATATGTCTTTTATCCTTCTGTATATTTTTATATACAGTGGCTGTCAAAAATTTTCGGCCGCATATAATTGTAATTAATTCCTAATTATATTTAATTTATGAGCTTCAACATTGCTCATTTAAAGGGTATAGCTGGTTAAGAAGGGGATTTCCGGCCTCGCGCGTAATTAATCATCATAGTGGGCAAAATGTTCACCCAGATAAAAGAAAATGTTGTGCCAAGTTTCATTTCAAAACCTACACAATTTCGAAATATCACAAGAAATGTGATTTTTTATTAATATTTTTTTTCTCGATATTTCGAAATTGTGTGGGTTTTGAAATGAAACTTGGCACAAAATTTTTTTTTATCTGAGTGAACATTTTTCTCGTTATAACGATCGATTACGCGGAGCGTCGGAAATCCGGAAATCCTCTCCTTAACCCGCTATACGCTTTGAAGACATCAAAATTTTTTATTATGATACAATGTATTTAATAATTTCCAGTACAATAAAATTACTTATTGACCGAAATTTTTGTCACAGCCATTGTTTGTGAAACATATTCATTAAAATTTGTATACAAGAATAGTGATGATTGAAGATTAGGGATGATTGATATATCAATACAATAATAGGAAGATTATAATGTTCAACAGAAAAATAACTCTGATTTTTAATTTTGCTTATGAAAAAAATTAAGATAACATTTCGATAGCGATTGTACTATTTCGTTATGCAAATCGTGACAATCAATAAGTGCTAAAAAAAATAGGAAAGAAATTGATAAATGAGTGGGATTAAAATAGCGATTTTTCTCTACAATTATTGATTTAATGTTTATGATGACCAACATGATTAACATTGTGAATAAAATGTTTGTAAATATATCAAAAACACTTTGACATATTTACAAAAGTATTATTTTTCAAATAATATTTTTAATAGTGCTGATTGTGAGTTTCAGATATATATATCTCACATCGCACTTTGAATTTTTTCGTCAATTTAAATGTAATCTATACTTATTATTATCGGTTTGGCAACGCGAGGTAACATGATTGATTCAAGCGACGAAAAAGCCATAACGCATCTGCCGCTTAAAAATTTATGACAAATTAAACTTAATATTTGGTGTATTTCCTTTACTATACGTTGAATATTTTTGTAACGTTTGAAACAACGGTTTGATATAAACGAGCTCACATGCGGCGCATGACACGGTTTATCCGTTTGAGGTATTACCGCGCTATTCATTCATACACCGACAGTCGAGCACGCACGTAGCAGCGCGAGAATCTCCGTGTATCAAAACGTGATCACATTTTACAAATAATTGGAAACTATTGACTGGAATAATTAACTTTTCTTTTCAATGATCTGTAAGCTAAGAATATTTATCGCGAAGTGGCTATTTGCACTGGTTAATACTTATCATGTTGAAATTTCTCCACGATTGATTACGGGAGTTATAAATTAGCGTTTCGTTGGAATTACGTTTATAAGTAAAAGTAATTTCTTCAAAGATTTTTAAAATATATCTCGTATTATATGTGAATATATCTCTAATATTTATTAATATCATTTCACTAGAATTCGTGTATTCGATATTGGCAGTAGTATGGAAAGTTTCGTGCGATCGTAGTATTTGATACTGGCAGTGCTTTGCGCGATTGTCGCATTCGGGTGATCAATGTATGCGCAATTGTAGCTATGAGCGCAATGAATAAACTCGAAGAAAGGAAGGAATTTGGGGGACATCGGGCTTTACAACCCAGCTGCTGTGTACGTTGTACCTATATATAATATAAGTGTTATATATATATATATATATATATATATATATATATATAAGTGTCAAATTATTTTTTATTTTAATAAATAGCAATGCATTTGTAAATGTTGTTTAGATTGATATAATATCTAATTTCTTATAAATCCAAATTCAAAATTAGATATTTATTTATATTTGAAGCTTTAAAGAATTGTTGAGTAAGAATAACATAAGTACAAGGGACTTCCTTTATACGGAGTTTTTTCAAAATATTCTTTCTTTAATTATGTTCTTTAGTTATGTTATTTATTGGACCCTGATAAATATATTTTGCTCGTCTTTGGTCTCTTATCCTGACTATGTTGTTTACAATATTAACGAGCTGGTAATTCATTTAATATCTTTTCAGTTTTTGATTGAACGAGCGTATCATCACGCGTATAAAGTAGAAATAGATTAAATATTTTAGTAAACGTTAAATTCATTCTTTATTAATTTAATGTGTACAATAACCTTTTGCGACGCGGTTGCGTTTTGCGCATCGTTGAAAAGAGCGTAAAATTGTTACGCAGTACGCTCATCTGTCGATTGTTATCAATAATCAAAATAATTTTGTGCAAAAATCAAAATGATGCTTATCAGTTTTAATATTACAACAAATTATTTTGACTATTCAACAAAAAATTATTTTCAGATCTGTATCAGTATCTTATACACATCTCTGAGCGGGCTGGCAAGGCA